TTTTTAAAATTTGATTTCTTTAGTAATTAAAATAGGTATTTAATTTTTTACTAACAAAATATTTGTTAATAATATTGTGTATAAAATCTTATTTAAATAATATACAAATTTACTTAAAATTGACAAGAAATGAAATATTAATTTTGGACTAGTGTATGTAGAAAAATATTATATTATGATTTTTACTGATTTCTATGAAACAAAATAATTTGAGTCGAATCAGATCTGAAAAGCAGCTTTCTAAATCCTAAGAAATATGCACTAGCCCTGGTCATAGTAATAATATTACCATACACAAATAAGTAACATACAATAAAATATGTTAGGCATGTTATATTATTAGAATTAGACTATACGTCTATAATCTATACCTATACAGGCGAGGAAGGTTGAGATGTAATAAATAAATAATGAAAGTATAATAGCCTGGTGTATATAACCAGTAGGTCGTAAGTGTAGGACAATCACTTGCAGACCCGAACTCGAACCCGCGTCATATTTGTTGTCCGCATAATGCGTATATCTGTCGCTGAAAAGTGAACAAGGGAATAGATGAACAGTGAACGCAGAGTTACTCAATATTTGAAAATCAAAAACCGTTAGGAAAATGACGCCGTCAGCAGGCAGGCAATAGCCTTAAAGGATGTTGTACAATAATATTATAGCCGCATGAACTATGGTCGTTGGGTATTCTTGACCTAATCGTACCAACTGTAGTTACTTATTTTCATTTTTTCATTATACTGCACCATCGCCGTAAATAATGTAAGTTCAAAAAAAAAAAAAAAAATAGGCCACTAACGGACGAAAATTCACGAAATATACGTACATAAATGTGTGTATATAAATATTAAATATCTTTTACTCATCGTGATTTCTAAACAATATTCGTGATTTTCAACAATTGCTTTCATTTTCTTTCTTTCAAAAAATKCGTGTAAAATCAACGCATCTACATTTAAATAAAAAATATTAGAGATTCAATGGTCCTATATACGAATGTTTTAGTTTGATCTGTTTCATAATATCCTACACAAAAGTGTTATTGGGTTTAGACAATATGGATAATTCAGATAATTCATTTTTTGGAAAGCTTGGATGGGATTCTACGTGAGGCCATCAGGCCGCGAGTGGTTGTCTACGACGTATCCAACACCTATTCCCGAACACCGAATCAATCCACAGACAAGCATACTGTGACCGAATCATACGAAATTAATATTTTTCAATCACCTACCAAAGAGCCCACTAGATGTCTAGATATAATTCCACTCGGCGGGGGGCGGTGCGAAGTTAATTATTTTAATCATTACAAAAAGGCGTTGAAAAATGTTTCTAAATAATCAACTAAAATAAAACCAAAAATGATTCTAGTTTCTACGTGACAAGCTTAAATATCATAATTTCAACATTGCCGTTTAAATTATTATTATGATTATTTTTAATAATTTTATGAATTATTATTATTTGCGCGGGGAAGTAAGTTTAAAAACGGCTCTGTGCCCTGTGGAGTGTGCGGTTACCATATTTTACCGTAACATTCGTAAAATTGTAACTATTATAACAATATTGTCTCGGTACAGCGAACGCGGCTGTCATCGATTGACGTGCGCAACGGATATAATAATATTATACTTCCGTCCGGTCTTCGTGATTTTTCTGTATTCGTTTTTGTTTACACGCAGTCGCAGGTCTATTATCTGTAAGCAAAAACTAGTACAACTATATCTCTCTACACCGCCGCGCGCCGTAACAATAAACGCAACATTAATAGCCGAAAATTATTACTATAATCATTTATCGTATTTATCAATAAACAATATACAAAATATTGAGACGACCATAGACCTATAAAAGATGGAGACGACGTTGTTGTTGTTGTTATTATAGTCATTAAGTATAACAATTAACAATAACAATACTTAATCAATGTTACAGTATTACAAGTTACAACACTTACAACTATAATTAGGTTTATGATAATATATTAATATCGGCACGGTCGCCGAGGCCACATACCGCGATGACCGAAAGACCGTGCGGTATAATAAATTTAAAAAAAATTATGATAATAGTACTGTTATTATTATGATTATTATCCAGCCGATGACCGCCGTCGACGCCACATTCGTCGATGAGGTTGGCGAGCTTGTGATCGGTGTTACCCGCGCTTGCATGTGGCGAGATTTAATCTATGCTATGGTAATAGCCGTTTGTTGTTAAATATTGTTGAGCGCGCGCGCGGGCTAACGAACAGGCCACAACGTTTTGCCGCGAAAAGGACGCTGCGTCCGAATAACGGCCGTCGCGGCTGTAGCGTTGGCTGCACTGGCAACGACGATAACGTTCGTCTGCGCGGGACAACGGGTAGGGAGCAGTTTGCTGAGCGTCTCCCTCTTCCCCGTAAGACTAACAACACGGACACGCCGCAGCCGCCATTATTTTCGACTACCGTCTCTCGCCGATGTCATATCGTCAGTAGCTGCTCTGTGTTTGATTATTTGAAAATTTTTATTCTCTTGACCTGCCGTACGTCTCTGGAAATTGAAAATGTCTACCAAATGGAGTTACGAAATTAATGATTTAGTTTGGTGAGTATCTTAAGCAATGCCTCGACTTATAGATGATGTTTTTTAATATTTACGTGAATATATGAAAAAGAGCGCGATTTATTACGACGGCGTCGATAATGACCATTTTAATTTTTTCTGTTCACAGGGCCAAGATGAAGGGCTTCCCGCCATGGCCAGGACGCGTGAGTATTTTTTCTTTGTTTTATAATATTATCAAGTATTAATATTTTAATTTTTTTTAATATTATTTTATTATAATGTATGTTGCATACTTAATCATTATTATTATCATTGTTATACGCTCGTCGATTTATATGTTTTGGTGCGTCGGGCGCATATATTTTAAGAAAATGTCATAGTTTACCCTCCCTCGACATCGCTCACGAATCATTGATCTGTAGTGCATTATAGTTTTGCTTTTTGTATACAGTCGGCTATGCAGACCCTTGCTGATTTTTGTTGCCCTCCACCATGTATGTTCTTTTTTTTAHCCGAATATAGTCTGTTAATGTGTGAATTGTTGATCAACCATATGTGTTCTACACACATACTTTATTATCCGTGTTGTACTTTAATATGCGTTATTGTGGTTGTTTAGATTGGACTGGGAGGAATGTGGTGACTGTATCCTACAAATATAATCTAATAGTACCTTCAAGGGTACCTACCTAAAGATAATCATTTAATATTTTTAATTTGTTACTGCCTCCCCTAATAATGTWAATAAGAGCATATCCTGTTCAGTTAAGATGGTGTAGTTAATGGAATGTCCTGGCATTACGTTGTTAAAATTTGATATTGTTATGTTACTTTCTCTTGTATGAATGTGTGTTTACAAAGCACTCAGTTTTTGATCTTGGAGTTATTATAATTTATTTATACATTTGAACTGTTATTATAACAAGCGTTTTGTTAATTTTAGGTGAGCGAGCCAACTGTACAGCTGGTTAAGAAACCTAAAAAGAATTGCAAATGTATTTTTTTCTTTGGTTCTAATAATTAGTAAGTTAAAATTGTATACATTTTTAGAGATAACCATTTTTTTTTAACACTTGTGTTTTTTTATTAATTTTGGATAGTTATGTAATAAACTTAACTGTTTGTTAATATTCATTTGTTAGCCTATTCTGTGGCGAATAGTAATAAATTCTAAGAGCTGCCTGTATTAAATTTTATATCATTAATTAGACAATTTTTTTGTTTAGTGCCTGGATTGAACTGGGATGTTTAAAACCATACTTTCAGTTTAAAGACACTTTGAGCTATAGTTGTAAAAATACACTATTTAAAGAAGCTTGTAAGGCAATTGAACAGCATATTGTAGAAAACAATACTGATCAAGTGAGTATTTTTATTAACTTGTTATTTTTATCAATATTTAATTAAATTATAATTTTAGGGACTAAATAATGGATTATCTGAAGCTGAGTCAAGATTTGAAAACTTGGTTCAAAACGAAACTCCAACCTTTCAACCCGAGAAATCTAAAATCGTATGTATTCAATAATAGTTTAAACAGTTGAATACAGATTATAGCTATTTGATGTTATTAAATAGCTACAATCATTCAAACCTTAAATTTTATATCAGCAACTGTTATTAGACATGGATGTTAATTCTTCAAAACCTATCATAATGTCCTACAAATATTATATCCTTATKACCTAACTAAAATCTTTAAAAATGGCCTCATAATAAAGTTACTAAAAATATTTATTGATTTTAATATTTCTAAACAGTGATTTAGATTTAGATTTGAATATCATAATTTATTGTAAACTAAAAAAACAATTAAAAATTGTCTTAATTATTTTTTTTTAATGGGCTGGTAAAATAAGATAAAGTTTAATAATAAATCTAATCTATACATTAAAAAAGTACAAAACCTAATACCTTTTTTCATTATTAAATAGATTTTATGATTGATGTTACAAAGTTAAGAGGATATCATCTCACCATTTGTTTCTCTCTGACCCATATGAAATATGGCCAGTTTGCTATTAACAGATTTTACTTTGTATTGTTAACTTCATTATTAGAGTGAATTTATCTGATACCAAGCTTAAAAGTAAGAACATTATCTATGTCTCTTGTTTTGTTTTTTACAATGTTTTAATTTTTAAGTTACTTAAGAATATCATGAATTTTGTATTAAAATATAAATAATGATCATAACTTGCTTAATAAGTGAAATTTGTGAAAAACTAATAAAAATATTCAGGTTAAATATTTACCCTCTACATTTAATGATATGCTAAATCTAACGACATAAAATACTGCCTTACTTAAATATTATATAGTATCCATATTTATGATGGAGATGCAATGGAAAATGAGATCCTCTTAACAACAAAAATATAATGTTAATACTTATCTGAATCAAATACTACTATTTTAATATTTTGTTTTATATGTGCCTTAACTTTCAATTACAATGATATTATTCAATGTTTATACTCATAGAATGGAAGTTTGTTGAGGTTATACATTTAATAAAAYATTAGTGGTACACAACTGATATGCTTCATAAGTATTATATATTAATAGAACTTTGTATGCTAACAATTATAATAAACAACTAGATTATTGTTACTGCTTCAACGTGCACTACAAGATACCCAATTTCAAGTTTATTGATCTTTAAAATAACTTAACCTAACTTTTCATTATAAATTAATTAAAAAATATAAATTAGATAAGTGAAGACTATATGTATTTAATTTTAATATTAAAGTGTTAGCGATTTGTATGAAAGTAATTAGTTACATAATTTTGTTTAGCTAAATTTTCAGGGATAATCATTAAGAGGATATTACTACRACGGCTTGTGTTGTCTTTGTCTTACAAATTTAAAATATAGTAATAGCTGTTTTGTGTGTAAAATAACTGAGAAGACTATAGTCATAACTGAGTAACCAAATTTACACCACATCAAAAAGAGAACTTTGGCCATGAAATATAGTTTGTTTTTTCAATATAAAAAAAAATAAAATTTTTCAAGTTATAAATACAAAAACAATGGGTTAGTATAAATGTTATCAAAAAAAAAAAAAAAACTAATAATGTTAATGTTAAAAAATGATAATGTTTTCAATTATATTTTATATCAATTTGGAGTCCGAACTATGTTATACCCTGGATGGTTTTATCACGCATAAAACAGATTTGCTATGTTGTATATTTGTAAGACATACATAATATATGCAGGTGTAGCGTCCTCTTGAGGAATATTTTTTATAATTAATGTTAGAAATGTAAAAATAATTTAAATATTACTTAAAATCAGATTTGATACCGGTATCCTTTGAATGCACATACAGATGTTGAAATATTATGATGGATCAGATTTGAAAAGAAAAATCCTGTAGTTGTAGGTAGCCTATTAGCCAAGTTTCTATAAAATAAAATTTGATTATAACTATTAGGAACACGGAAAGTATTTGGCCAGCCATATTAGAAWGCGCGCGCCGCGGTGGGTCACATATTTGATAACATTAGTGTTAAATAATTTACAATTTTTCTTGAAACTAAAAACAAAAAATTAGAAATCAAGAAATTAATGAAAATACAATTTTGAAATGTCAATATTTTCAGAAAAATAAACTACAAAATCGCTATTTTTAATTATTTTGGAAATAATTTAATAAAAAATGTATTTTTTAACTTTTTTACCAAAACCATTAAAATAAATTAAAATATGAAATAATTGTTGTTCTTATTCTGTGGGCCTTATTACAAAACCAGAATTTTGATATCACCATTATTTAGGGAGATATCGCAATGGGTAAATCCTCACAGGACACCTTGTATATAAATTTACTATACATAATATATAAGTCAGTGTCAAGTATGCTACTGTGTAATTGGTTAAAACTTGTGAGTCGTGAGGGAAAAAGGTTGGGGAAATGCTGTTTTAGATTCTGAGCGTTGTAAATTAATATTTACAATGGTCAATGGATGAGAATTTTTTAAATTTTTTTTTTGTCATTTGTGGATATTTTAAAGTGCTCTTATTTTTGAAATCACCAACTTTTTAATAGATAAGTGAAAATTAATTTTTTTTTTTTTTTGTCGTAACTCAAAAATTGATGACTTGTCATTTTAAATTTTCAGTAAATAATGAATATTCAAATAACCATTTTTTAAATGTTTTGGCTGTTTTTATGCTATAACCTTGAGAAAATGTTATAATATTATTAATTTTCGTTCAGTAATAGTCATAAAAGTTTTAATTTTCACAGCTTATATTAGACATTTTTAAAGAGTTTTCCCAATAAGTTATTCTGCCTTTAAAAAAATKTTTGAATYAATTATTTATACAATTATACGAGAATGGCCTAATGTTTCAGCTCAAAATCTTTTTTTATGTATAGTGTTTTACTATGCATTAGAATATATAATAAAAAATTATTTWAAGTGGCTAAAACGTCACATAAGTTTTGCTACTATAGCCATCAGATTTGGAGTGGATTAAGGTTAATTGAGGAATATATAATTTTTTATGTGGGGCTATTTTATGTAGGATTTATTGTATTCATTTAGGAACTGGCGATTGCCAGACAGTGCCAGACTTGCTCACAGCTAAAGTACACTTAGTGACTACAGTCAATTACCACTATATATTAAGGCACCTTTCAATAGATTTCATTATAATACCTGTTAACAATATATATTTCTACTCTCCATTATGTTTTAAAAGTTAACGCTTGTTATGATTCCTAAATGTTAGTAAAATACATTGCAATTTTGCTATGTTGATCAAAATATATTTTAAGTTAACTAYTAATTTTCAGTCAAACGTTCGTAATGCTTCAACACCACTACCTGAGAAAGTTAAAAAAAGGCGTTCAAAACAAGTTGAATCTACCTCTAATGGGCCTACTAAGGATAAACCTAAAAAACCCCGTTTAAACTCAAGAGTTGGTAAATCTGAAGTCAATAATACTGATATACTTACAAATCTTGGATTGACGAACAACCATACAAGTCCGCTTCGAAGGAATAATACTTTATTAGACAGACCTGAAGTAACAACTCCGGTAACTATAAAAATAATTGTCCATTTTTTTGTCATTTTACTTAAAGAGGTATGCAATAATTACAGGAAACGACCACAGTAGATACATCAAAAGTATCCAAAACTTTATTGAAAAAGAAAGTCAAACCATCTAGTTTGAAATTTGGATTCATTGGTTTGGGCAATATGGGATCAGGAATTGTTAAAAATCTTTTGAATTCTGGACATGATGTGATCGTTTGGAATAGATCTCCAGACAAGGTAAGACATATATTTATTTTAAATAATTAGAAAAACTCATAGTAGTATTTAACACATGTTTTAAGAATATTAATATACTATTTATCAAATTTAGAGTTTAAGTTCTATTATTTAAATCTCTAGTATTCACAAAATGTATTTCTACATTTTTTATATTCAGTATAAAATATGTTTCGTCAGAGTCTTAATATATTTAATTTAATAAAAAAATTTATGTACACTTTCAAACATGTAACTGATACAGAAGTTTGTAAACAATCAGGCACCTAATTAATGTTATTCAAAAATAATTGAGTAGTATAAAATTCTATTYCAGTGTTTGACAACAGTTGTGACACTGAAATAGACTAAACATGGCGCAAAATACTTAACGAAAACGTTTTTGATTTACAAAATAGAATTGGTAAGATAAAATATAGATAAAGCCTTTTCTATTAGAACTTTTCATTTCCATTTCGCTAAGTTAAAATCCTTCTAAAACCTTCAAATGCRTTGCATACAAAGGTTGAAAACACTGTTGTAGAGSTTTAATCTTTTGGAAAGTTAACATTTAAAATTTTTAATTCCATAATCAAATAAAACATATCATCAGTGGTGAATAATATATTCGAAATTTTAATAAATTAATTTTATACTTTTAACATAATCTTGATTACAATTTTAAACACAAAATAGTAGTTTTA